CCCCCTTCTCCTTTCCTTTCCCGCCAAATATAGCGATAACCGACTTCCTCTGCAGCTGCCAAAAACGCGGCGGCCGCCACCGTCGCAATGATCACCTCCCCCTCCTCGCCCTCTCGCCCTCACTCTCTCAATGCAACCCGCTCTTTCTCTCGTTGGGCTAACGCACCCACCGAGTACAGACCACTCTCCTCCCTTCCTTTCTTCTTCAACAACTCTCCTCTCTCTCTTCCTCATTTAGCGTACGAACAAGTATTCCCACCCACCTCCTCTCTCCCCGCGCCCCATCCACCAATCTCCATGAATTTCTCGTCAATCGGCTACGACAGCGAGCTACTCTCCTGCGCCACAACCGCAGGGCGCCGACGCAGCCGCCGCAGCCGCCTTCCCTCCCCTCGCACGTTAGACACAGCAGAGTCTTCTGTCTTCTTCTCCCCCAATTCACCACAACCTCCTTTCCCGTTGCCTCAACAGCACTCTCTTCTCTGAATTGACAGAGCGTGAACCTTCTTCCTAGCCCTGATCGGGAAGGAGTAAGGAAGCGCTGAACCTTCTTCCTAGCGCTGATCGGGAAGGAGTAAGGTAGCACTCCTGTATGATACATTCATACCCACGATTTGCCTCAGAAGAGGAAGGTGATCAATCAAAAAAGAGGTTGCAATGATCGTGAGTCGTGACGGCGGTTGGCAAGCCCGCAAGCCAGAGACGAGCGAGGCGAGGCGAGGCGAGGCGAGTACGCGATCCCCGCCGGTTCTGTCCGCTCCGGTTTTCGACCCAGGCGCCGCCGTGCAGAAGTCTAAAGCCGGACGTTAATTATGCAGGTCGCGTCCGCTTCGATTCAGGGAATACTCACAAGCAAGAGAGACGGAGAGGAAAGGTGCGATTGGCGGGGTATTGCTAAAAGCTACCTCCCTTCCTTCCTCTCGCCCCCGGCCCCGTACACGGCGGGCCAACCCACACCGAGGTCGATTTCGTTTTTCTCCCTCCTCCTTGTCCCACCCGCACCCCCTTCTCCCCCTCCGCGCGGGCGATTCTTTGCGTTTCCGTTGCTGACGTGACAATGACAAGATTGCCCCGGAGACGTTGGGCGGGGCCCGTGGGGATGATGCTTGACGACTGGCTTCGCGATTCGCTGCATGGATATGGAGCCTGCCCGCGGAGACCCGCCTCCCTCTCAACCCTCGTACGCGCTTAGAGAGGGTGCTACATCAAGAGGGTGCTGCATGAAGCGTATCTGACCACGTGGGGGAGTCCCAGACCGAATATCCGCCCCTGTACCGTATCTATACGCCGTCTACTGGCTTCCAGGCCAGCGCAGTTTCCCATCGAATCGAGAGGAATTCAAACAACGGATTCAAAGAACGGACAACTCAACCATTTAGCTGGGAGTCAGGACCAGGCCCTCATTGCAGCTATGTTCATTCCGACAAAGCACGAACATACCACAAATTCCGACCACATCCCTGCCAACCATCTTCCCCCGAACACAACGCACCCTCATCGTGGCTGTACCGACCGGAAATATAGCTTGCGTACGTTCAATTTCAGGGTGTGTTATGTTCGGGGGAAGACGGTAGCTCGAACATAGCATCCTCCTCGGGGCCTGATCCTCAGACGAGCACGCAGCCGTCTGCCCACTCTGAGGGCGTACTCACACTAGCACTATCTTACACGTATCTGACCGCATTTGCGGCCCTAATTGTATGCATCTGGTCGCAATTCTGTCCCGTAATAAAGTAAGAAAGTGCTACTGTAGTGTGAGTATGCCTCAAGCGCTCCAGCGTGACGAATGGGTTGCCCCAGGAGCTTCGCGCGCGAACCCGACGTGGAACCTCGCCAGCCGAAAACCTGCTTACCAGTCTTCCGAACCTCTTTCGATGGGGGCCAAGTCCCACTTACGCTGATCCTTGATTTCTGGTCGTTGATCTTCCGAATCTGTGGTCAGAAATCGATCATTCGGGTAAGTGGGACTTGGCCCCGAGTCTCCCTTTGCCACGGCTCACCAGTCTCCGAACCTCTCTCGCCGACCCTCTCTTTTGCCCCACACGAACCGTCGCGATCACAACCCGATGGTTCAGTAGGCTTTTTCCAGAACTCCCACGGGCCACCCACTGGCTGCTACCGAAGTGCTGCGTGATCCCGTTGGACACCACTGCAAAGCAGAGGGCCCGCGCTTGCTGCTGCTATATTTAATGCTACGTGAGCATGAACCTATTGTTCATTTCTAACCGTTGATCTTCGTAATCGAGGGTGAAAAATGAATAATCCACGGTAGTGGGATCTGACCCTAGTCTGTTGGGTCACAAGCTTCATGCTTACGAACAACGGGAAACAGTTAGACCGCGCTTTATGCGGAGATGCAGCCGGGAGGGCATAATGTGACGGACTCATGTCTATTTTTTTCACAATCTAGGGCATCGAGTTGGGCGGGCTGTAACTGCAGTCCTGTTCTTCGAGACATCCATGCAATTGGAACGATACAGAGCAGACTTTTGGTGGGGTTGAAATGCCCCTGAAAGCTCGGTTATTTCGCCAGATACCCCTAAAAGGCATGGTTTGACGAAATGGCCCTATGACAGTAGTGAAACGTTGCGAAATACCCCTCTTGCCAACTGGACTTGTCATCTCTTGCATATACCCCTACCTGGCCCTCAGCAACTGGTCTCTATGCCCTGGTATTGTACCCTGTTGGACCCTGTAGGTTCCAAAAGAAATGCATGGGCCCCTGCAGCCCAGGGCCAGGGCATATGGCAAAGTTGTCAATGAGCTGACAGGGGCAGATGCAGAAGTTTGGGGCAGTTCTGCGTACCCTGGTGTTTTAGGGGTATATAACGGAATACCCAAAGTTTTAGGGGTATTTCAACAATTTCCCCTTTGTTCTAAATTTTAAGAAAATTGGAATGATACAGAGCAGACTAGCATGGCCCCTGTACAAGAAGACGAAAAAAGAAACCTGATTCCTCTGCCCTTAGTCAGCCCACTGGCCCCCCAATACCAGCATTGCTGTGCAGAATCTCAGGGCATGCTCACACTAAGACATTGCTTAGTCACACCAGGCCTTTTTCTGCCAGTTTCTGCGGGTCAGATTCATGGAGTGGTGCCACAACCATGGTCAGATACATTTAGGAAAGTGCTAGTACTCCCAGATATAGACATGAGTTCGGAGCACACCATGGTCACATACATTAGGAAAGCGGTACTGTGAGTATGCTCTTAGTCCATACATAGATGAATTGGTGAAATACAGATCCGTGTTTGCAGCCCAGCCCTTAGGCTGCGATAGGCTTGGGCGTTCGTGTCAAGGTGTCACATTTTTGGGTGGCGGGTGACCAGCGCATAAAGGGGTATGCAGGGGAAGAATCTGTCCGAGGACCATCGCGTTTGTACGGGCAGCCTACAGGTAGCAAAATCGGAGGACTGGTCCTCCCTTCAATGCGGTTATGAAAAGGGGTCCAGTCCCGCAATTTGCAAGAGCCAACTTTGGCGATTTTTTGTGCTCAATTTGCAGAAGAATCGGAAAATTCCAGGAAAAAAAATCAGAAAAATGTTAAACAATCACAGAATAATTGTCGCGCTGATTCGGTGCATTTCCATGTTTGCTCACAATTTGCAACCGTAATGCTGCGGTGTAGTGGGTTCGAGCATCTGTGTTTGCAGCACAAAGGCTGCACCGAAAGGGAGCACATCAGCAGCCCCCCCCCCCTCTCTCTCTCTCTCTCTCTCTCTCAGAAAAACAAAGAAGCATAATCCCTTAGAGCTGCGTTCCCCTCGCCCATGCGATAGGCAATTTGAGTCTGCTGTTGAATACAGACACGAGTTCCTAATATGCTGGTTGTGTCCAATTATGCGGGAGGGGGGCTACACCCCCTCCCCAACACCCCTCCCCTCACACTGTCAACTTTGTTGTGCGGAATCCCGAGGCATACTCGTACCAGGACTTCTCTTTGCTGAATCTCAAGGGCATACTCGCACAAATCTATTGTTGAATACAGACCTAAATTCAAATGTGTCGGCTATGTTAAATTGCAGGGGACGGGGGGCTACGCCGTTCTGAATCTCAGGGCATACTCACACTAGGACTTTGCTTTGCTAAAGCTCAAGGGCATACTCAAACAAATCTGTTGCTAAATACAAACCCCTGTCCCTCCCCAATGTGAGCCCTGCTGTGTTGAATATCAGACCATACTCACACTCCAAATATGTAACAGCTAATAAACAGATCATGAGTTCTATTCTCCTACCTCGACAGGACAGAATGAGGTGGAAGTAATCACGACAGGGGCTAACCCTACCCGATAGACATCAGGACCACCTATTATGGGCACAAGCAAGTACCTAAAGCACCGGCTCTACCTATCCATCTCGAATTGGTCATCCGATCGTCGGAGCATCGTTCAAGTTTTTTTTTCTCTTTTTCTTTTTCTGATTTTTTTTTATTTTTTTTGCCCCAAAGTTGCTTGTTGATTTTCTTCGCCACTGACTCAGCGAACCCAAAGTGTCTCTCTCTCAAAGAAAAAAGAAAAAAAAGAAACAGAGGTCGTAGGCTATACTGCTCTGGAGTCGGGTATCATGGATGAATCAAGTCGAAACTACGGTTTCTCCCTTATGCAATTACGTCAGTGACGCACATAACCTCTTACCCTCCGCGACTTCTTGATCAGAGTGAGTGTAGGCCCGGAAGTGTGAGATAGGGGTTGTGCCAAGGATTTTAGGAAAGTGTGGATTGGAGTCCCAGGTAGAAACTGGGATCTCCGATGTCAAGGAACCAAGAACAAAGCGAAGCTGGCCCAATCACGGAGGCCCCGTGGGCAATTAGCACATAAAGGCATGGGCGGGGCCAGCCTGAGTTCGAGCCCGACGTTAACGTCGGTTCCCCGACCGATGGACTTCAGGAAGACAATGGGGTCCCGTTGCTCG